ATAACGGGTACGGCAGAGAAAATTGCCGGTTTTTGTTAAGTCATTTCTGAGTACTAGTTCTACTTTATTTCAAAGACCAAATACATCATCTGATAGACCAAAAGAAAAGCTACATTTTCATTAAAAAAAACTATTTAATATATGCTCCCTTTTTTTTAAAACTTGAAGAATACGACGAGACCATGAATCAATGCTGCTCGCCACTTCAGTTACTGGTACTAATCGTATTGCTCTTTTGATTTCTTGTTGTAATGATTGATAATTCTGAACTTTGTCCCATCTCATTAGTTGAGCTACAGCATTCCATACATAGTAATCCAAGATATTCAGGTCGGGGCTGTTGGGAGGCCACCGTTTTGAATCAATAAAGTCGGGAAAATGTTGTTCACACCACATCTGTGAATTTCCAGCAGTATGTGAACGAGCATTATCCTGTTGATAAATGAATGTGTCACCAATTAGTCGTTTACCTTCAGATAATGCTAATGGCAAAACGTCGTCGCTATAATTGTATTGGGTTAATCTTTCAAATGGTTCAAAAACAATCGGCTTTGTCACACCTGCATAACAAGCCCCAAGCCATACCATAATCTGTGCTGGATATTTTGACTTTTGATGAACTCCACCGTATCCGATTTCTTTACTAGCAAAAGAACACAACATTCACTTACTTTGTCTTCCGTCTCATACAACTCATGCCCTTCAACCACTTGATTCCCTGTTTTTAGCAGCAGTTAAACGTAATAATCTTAGCCATTCAACGCCGGGACTACCGTGGGTGAACTTTTTTGATAAACCCATTTCTTGTACAAAGTTTTTTACTAAATCCAATGTTTCACGACGTGATCTTGCATAGCCCCATTCGTCATAAGCTACTAGAATTTTGACTATGGTATCTTCTTGTTCATGCGTTAACGCTGTTTCTCGTCCAGCACCAACGGAACAATTGTACAATTTATGTTTCCGAATCGTAGAAGCAGGTATTCCAAATCTTTTACTAGCAGCTACCGCATCGAGTAGCCCATTTCTTACAAGATCAACAGCTTCTTCTAATGTTTTGCTGTCATATTGCTGTCTAGAATTTTTTTTCGTATAATTAC